ACACTCATGCATTGTGGTTTTGCTCCAATCTACCAATACATGTTCCCACAAGGTGTTAAACACCATACTCCTCACAGTGATGAATAAAGTTGGGACCTTTAGGCTCAAGGGACCTCACAAGGTTCAGATTCGAGGTTTAAACCTCTAGATAACTTAGTATTCTCGAAGTTCCAAATAAAATGTGATGAAAACCCTAACTTCTTAAACTCATGAAATCTAACCAAATAAAGGGGAAAGATTCAAGCTTTTTACCTTCCTCTTGAAGCTCTGGACGAAATGGCCTGAACCCCAACAGCTCCTTGTTGTTCCTTGTTGAACAAACTCTTCTTCCTCTTCAAAGATGCACTAAAATCCTTCAAGGTTATCTTGGAGACTCTCTTAGCTCACTACACTCGTTTAGGGTTTCACACAATAAGGTTAAGCAGCTGATGAGCCACAAATGAGGCTATAAGTGTCCTTATATAGGCCCTAAACCTGAGGATTTAGGGTTTCACTTCACATAGTCTGCTCAGCAGTCGACTCTTTGACTCGTCGAGTAGATTATTAATCTCACGTGGCACAATGCGACTCTACTCGACGAGTTGTAGCACCAACTCGTTAAGTTTCTCAATGGTCCTCAAAATAAATAAATAGATAATATACCTGGGAGTCTGGATGTTACATGAGTGTTAACCATTGACTTTTTGACCAGTTTGACTTTTGGTAAACCATGTTGGGACTTAGTATAGGAAAGGTAAAATGGTCTTTTGCCCAAAAGAGGTTTAATTGTAAGCCTAGATCTATCTTGGGCCATTCATTTCCTTAAATGTTAATTAGGGTTTTATTTGTGGATATGTTTAGCAATGGGAGGCTTGATATCATCGACTCGAGTGGGTGGTTTATCTTGTCTTCAGGGTTGAGGTGAGTCTTCTCACTATACTTGTGGGTTGAAGCCACAATTTCGGCCCACTGGATTGTGTTATGTAGGGATGTTTTTTGGGTTGGAATTTGGAACCTGAATGAACTAATCCGAACCTAAATAACCCTAATATCGAATAAGGTTAATTGCACGAACCGAAATCTGAACCAATTAACCAATACAGGTTTGGTTCGGTTCGGTTATTACCCAAATATCATGAATAACATGTACAAGATGATTAAGGACCTAATATAACAAAATAACATAATAAATCGTGTTAGGACTCTATAACCCGAATAATAGAGTAACAATGTACTTTTATACATCCATATAAAACATTCAAACACTAACATAACACAATAACACATCGAAAGAATAGCATTTACATAGTAGATTAACATAATGAGAATTAATTTCTTACTTGGGTTTCTTGAGTTGGAGCCTAATTTTTCATGACTATACAAAGTAGGAATTTGTGAATCCTTAGAGACAATAGGAAGGGTTGATTTTTGAAAGTTTGAAATAATATGAAGGATCGACATAAGTGATTTCGAGTTTGGAAATAGGTGAGAAGATTGGTCGATTTTGAAATGACAAGAACGAGCATATAGTGTTTTTCCTGTTATGAACGACAAGGACAGAAGTGTGAATCGTGATTTTGATTTATGTCGATTAGAGAAAGGGAATGGGGAATGCTTATTTGGGTCAGATATTTAGAACCAGATAAGCTCTTATTTGGATAACCTGGACCAAATAATCCAAGAACCAAATAAGCATAATATAGGTACCTGAAACTCGAATCGAATTGCTTATTCGGTCCTAATTCGGTTCGGTTTGGGTTTCTGAACGAAATTCTCATCCCTAGTGTTATGTAGGGTGCTAGTTGTCTTTGTGACTCTTGCATGTGTATGTTGGGTTAGACCCATTTACTTATATTCTCGGTTGGGTCCATTTATTTATATGTTGGGATGAGCATATTTATTTATATGTTGGTTGGGACCATTTTTTTATATGTTGGGCTGGGCCCATTTATATGGTATGCGGTATTTTGGGGAACTCACTAAGATTTGTTCTTACGGTTTGTGGTTTAACATTTTTCAGGTACTACCAGTTTCGAAGGGAAGGGCCCGGCTTGACTGCACTACATCCCCTGATGGCTTTTCCACATTGGTTACCTTTGAGATACTCTGATGTTTGAAAATACACTTTTACTTTATTTGGTTTTGGAACAATTGATTGTATAAATCGATGTTTAAAATGAAAATTTTCTACTGGCATTTTGGGATGTTACAAGTTGGTATCAGATTCTTGGTTTAAGGGATTCTAGCACACTCCCAGGTGTGTCTGAACTCAAACTGAGGAATTGGTAAACTTTTTGAAGAAATAATTTTTCTAAATAGATTTTTACAAAGAAAAGGGTGTGATGCGTGCAATCATCTGAGCTCAAGTAAGTGATCACAAATATTATGTTTCCTTATAAAATTATGGACTGCAAAACAAGCAAGCACTATGTCTCTTTGTATCGGAAAATAATAAGGAGCCATTTTCCTTAGGATTAAGAATATCGCCTTCAAAACACCATAAGCGAACTCAATAACATTTTTGAGTTGTGCGTGAGCATGGTTTAACTTTCCCTCAGTTAATGGATGTTGTCGTCGAAAATCGTTTAACGAATACTTGATATTATCATAGGGAGCCATACATCCAGGAGTGTTAGTATATGAGACATGACAAAGGTAATATTTGTCTATAAAAGTGAGTGTTGCAATTTTTATATGAAAAATAGAAAATGTATTTAATAATTAAAGTTAAAAAGATTACAAACCTGGTGGAGGGAATGGAAAGCCGGAAGTTGTGTTAAATGCAACTTCTTTTAGAACTTGTGAATCATGTGCTATGCCCTCTCAAACGACCCATAGAAATGTGAATATCATATAAAAATTACAAATTCCATTAACATTTTTATAGCATCCACCTTTTCCTCTCCCCCTATAACGAGTTTGTTCATCAAAAAGCAAATATACATGTTTGGTATCTTGGATCAAATATTTCACACTCAATTTTCACCAACTTTTCCATACATGATGTCATATTGTTATCTTTATGTTTCTCCACTAACATCCTTCCAACTTTTCTAATTTCACCACTGACTTCAATGATCTTTTTGGATTCATTGTTGTTTTTCCTTTTTCATTTGCTCCTTTGATTTTGAAAAGACTAGAGGTTCCTTTATTTGGACTTTCACGTGAAGTCATACTTTCATATGAGTTACATTAATACCATCAATGTCGCTTAAATTAATGTCGGGCGAGTCATGAGAAGGGTGAGAAAGTGTAGAAGATGGCCCCTAACAGTCCACGCCAATCGAAGTCGAACCGTTGAACAACTTAACACAAAGATCAAGGTACATTAATGGAGAAGTTCTCAAAGTTTCTATCATTCTCTTCCACTGCTTGAAAATGTTATGAATATTATGAAATATTATAAAATATTATAAAATATTACGTTTTTAGCAAAAATCACATACCATGATCTCCAATTTCTATTTGTCTTCTTCCATGTTAAACATGTTAGTTATAGAGTTATAAACATTTCTTGTTTTGTTTTTTAAATTCAACCAAACACCAAACTTTGCTTTCAAGTAGTCAGATCGTTTTTTCATCTTCTTTTCATCAACTACAAAATTGTATTATGTTTTCAATCTTTTAGTTACATTCTTCCAAGAGTTCAGTTTTAAACTACACCATGCATGTCTGTAAGTTATAAATTCATAAATACAACTATACAAGCTTCAAGAAATGTTTTTCCACACCTTCTATCTATTTCGAATTAATTCTATGTGTCTTTTGTCTCATTTGTGCCATGTCTAGTATTCAAAATCCAACAAGAACAGATTTTAGCAACAAAACTACCACACAAATAGAGCAACAACAGAACAGAAAAAAATCGAGCAAGAACATAACAGATTTTAGCAAAAAACTTAACACATACTTTCGTAGTTTCAATCTAAGATAAAGCAACAAAAATACAACTTAGCAAGAACACATATCAAACACAAACATAACATGTTTTAGGGCTTGAAAAAATCGATTTCACATAAATCGAGCAACAAAAAAACAACTCAACAAGAATACAAATCAAACACAAAGATAACAGGTTTTAGGGCTTGAAAAAATCGACCAAAATGATGCTTAAAATATCGACCATAAAAAAAGAGTAGAAAAATTACCAGCGAAGGGGGAGGCAGAGCTGCACTGCCGGAGGTCCAATGGGAAAGTGAGAATCGAGGACTGAAAAAGGGAGAGTGAGGGAAGATTGCTCGATGGGAGAAGATGGGAAGAAAAAAACGGCTGACGTTTTTTTTTTTTTTTTTTTTTTTTTTTGTTTTTTTAAGGGCAAGGGTATTGCTCGATGGGAGAAGATGGGAAGAAAAAAAACGGCTGACGTTTTTTTTTTAAGAGCAAGGGTATCACATGAAAAACTTTTCGTCCAGACTCCTCAATATATCTGACCGATTAAGATAATTTTCTGTTATATCCAACCAATTAAGAGGCTAAAAAATGTCAACCAAACGTTTTGAATCTAAACGATCCAAAGCTAACATCTTTATTTGATTATTAAAAGACCAAACAAGCATCAATTCTTTGACAAATCTTTATATGGATATAAAAAAAATTATATAATATAGGATAGTTAAAATTAAATAAAAGAATTAGTTAAAAAAAATAAAGTGTGGGATATATTATTTTTTATATCTATAGTCTATAGTCTATACCATAATGTTGTAAAAGTTATGTAATTAATTATTGAAATATTTAGCAAACTAATATTGTTTGAAAAATTATTAGATAAATGTATTTAGAAAAATGAGGTTATTGTGGAAAAGGGGGAAAGGTATTCCATTTCTTTGGATGTTGGACAACCAATCACAAAATCAAGAATCCTCTGATCGTTGGACATTTCAAGCAGCTCGATCCGCACATCTTACGACTCAATCTCCCTTTGTTCCACTTCCTACTTTATCTTCCTCTTCTCCTCATCCTACAAATGGCATTAATCAAACTTCCGGTGATCTTTACAACTTCATTTCGTTAATTAACACATGTCTCCGCCACCGCCGCCCTCACTAAGCAAACCCAATCCAAATTCACTCTCCGATTTCATCTTTTCTGCTTTCTCCCTCTTCGTATTCTACTCATCTTCTTCCCCCAAACCCACCACCAATTTGAACACACGTCGTCGTTTCTTCAAATTCCCAATCATGCCTTTGACCACCACCAAGACACCCGTCATCAACCACAACCACCACCACTTTGCCTCCCCACAATCCCTCTCCGAGTGGCTCCGCCCTCGTCTCCCCTCCGATTCTTTCGCCGCGTGGGGTACCAGACCCGGCACAAAGAACGTTCATAATCTCTGGCTTGAGCTATCCGAGGGCGAAACCTCTCTCGCTGACTCCACTCCGCCTGTTCGTACAGTCGAAGTTGTGGTGGTTCGCGTTAGGGATCATCAAAACCGAATCTTGATCGAATCCCATCAACAGCTGTCAAACGGCGACGTTCGTAACAGGTCCAGGCCACTGTCCGAAAAAATGAAGCCTGGTGAAACGGTGGAAGCGGCTGTTGTTAGAGCTGTGAAGGAAGAACTTGGCTCCATCATTAGGGTTTCCTGTAGCCATGTTAGCGACGATGACATTGTGAAAATTATACCCAATTCATATTCGAGTAAAGTGGAGGAAAGGTTATCTGTCTCCTACCCCGGATTACCAGCTTGTTATGTTTTACATACAGTAGATGCTTTTGTTGATGGTTTACCAGATTGCGAATTCTGTACTGAAGAGGAGGAAGAATATCATAATCTGGATGAAAATCAAGAGGCTGAAAGAGCTATTTCTTGTAAGAAGCATTACTGGAAATGGGTTGATTCTTACACTCTTTCATCTTGAATTTTGCATGCAGCATTTTTGCCTATATGATCTTGAGGTGTACTTGTAATAGAGAGAAGCTTCTTTTTGCTTCAAAAAGGGTTAAATCTTATCTTTCTTGGACCTAAATATACAATGAGTATGAACTCTTTATGTTTTTTATATCAGTGTGGGATGACAGAATAGCTTTTGATTTATGGTTAAAACTTAAAAGTTTGTAAATTTAGGTTTTCCCAACTTTGTATTGTATCCTTCGATCATTGGTTTTTAATAATTTGAATGATTTCAGTGAGTGGAATGAAATCGAAGTACGTTGACCAAAATAGTCATAACCACAAAGTAGTAAATACATTGCTATTCAATGGAATTACTCCATGGTGGCAATCATTGCATGTCATTGGAAGTGATTTTGCTTTTGTGAAGCTTTCAACCACACTTTAGAAAGCATCACCTCTTTAAGGGCACTTTTGTAAAAACATTAAACTAGACTATTGATCTGATCCTATTGCAGTCCTTCACCATTTGGGAATGTGCCACTTTCATTTTCCCTAAAGACAAAGTATGTACCCTAAATATAGCATACCTATAGAGGATTAGGGTCTTTTACATTATGAGAGTTTGTGTTTGATGATGATTTTTATGTGGAGACCAGACAACAAAAAAGATTAGGGTCTTTTCCATTATAAGAGTTTGTGGTCATTGGTATGTGGTGTTGATTGAAAGTGACTCCCATTATCTGAAAATAAAGAAGTGGCTTCAAAATTGGCTTCAAATACTTTCATTATATGTGGTAGCGAAACAAAAAAGAAAAAGAAAAAAAAGAGAGAGAATATAAGATTACAAACCAAACTATAAACATTTTGCTATAAATTTACATATTCAACAAAGTCAAATCATCATGCTAAAATCAAATCGATGGGTATATATATATTATTATATATATATATATATATATATATATATATATATATATATATATATAATATATATATATATATGCTAATGTAAAACCATAATTGATACGATATTTTGGTCCAAGTTTCAAACTGTGGTAGAACACTGACTCCCTTTAGAAGTCAACGGACCTGAAGGCACAGATTGACCAAAAGGCAAAACAACAACACAATTTACATTAAACCTATACCTTCCAGAAACCCAAGTTCCCACTTTCCATCTGAGTTCTCCATTTGCCTTGATACTTAAAACCAATCTTCCTACCATTTGATCACGACCCACTTCATACCCAAATGATGGATCCACGGGTAACCCGTTTGCAACCAAAACCATTGATAAAAGATTGCTGTCTTTACAATCTTGGTAAAAGGGTGGGACAGATGAATCAAGGGTTATTTGTTGGCCCTTGTAAGAAGCATAAACTTGGATTTCATCATAGTAAATACCAACTTTCTGGTTTGGATTGTTTGAGAGAAGGGTGGTCTGGATAGATGAGTTGAGGAGGTGAGATTTTGAGAGGGTAAGTTGGTAAATATCAGCTTCTTTGAGGGAGAATTGTGGCTTAGAAGGATGGAGTATGAACCATATAACAAGTATGAGTAAGAGGATTGAGAGAATGAAGGTGGTGAATGTGTAGAATAGTTTCTTGTGATTCTTGTTGATGTTTATAAGTTTCTTTTTGGCACAGTGTTGTGGTGATTTTTCATTGATTTGAGACATTTGTTGTATGAGAAAGGGAGGAAATTTACAAGACTAAGTTAAGGGTTGTGTGGAATCTTATATATGAATAAAGGTAGAGCTCCTCAATTATGATAGGTGGTTGATAATTGATATAAATCATTGACGGGGGCTTAGTTTTTCACACTAATTGCGTACACTTTCATTTATTTCTACTACTTTGTGCTTTGACTTCTTTTTTCTTCATCAAGACTTTGTACTTTGAAAAAAATCTACACAATTATAGTATTGTACTTTAAGCCCTTTTCTATTAAGGTCATTATAATTTGAAAATTTTAATCTATCAAAATAGTTAAAGTTGTTTTGTGTTTGGATGACATTGATGTAATCGGATAGATTGTTCAAAGTACAATGTTGTGGTAGGAAGAATTGAAAATATGATGCTATGATAAACAAATCAATGAAAATATGCTAACATTTTTTTTCATTGAAGGTCGTTGTACTTTGAAAAATCTAACTTATAACAATGAAAGTAGTTTTGTATTTGGACACCATTGTTGTAATTGAATAGATTTTTTAAAGTACAATGTGGTAATAGGAAAGAGATTGAAAAACAAGATGCTAAAATAAATAAACCAATGAAAGTACGTTTGGTTTGCATTTAACTTTAACAAAATAGAACACTAGACAACAAAATTATATGATTATTGGCTTATTAAAATTATGACTATTTCAACAACACACGTTGGATTAGTATTAGTAGAGTAGGGTTTTTGTTTTTTTTTTTTTTTTTTTCATAATTGATAGATACCAGCACTATGGCATTGAGTAAAAGATACTCTTTAAAAGACATCAAGTAGCTCAAGAAGTGGCCATTAGACATGATTAACCTTTTTGTAAAGAAAAAAAGTTCTCTATCTAAATGATGTTATCAATTACAAATAATATTTATATCCCATGTTATATCATGATAAAGTTTGCATAACCATCTTTATGCCTGCTAGAAACTCCCATGATTAGCTATGGAGGTTACATCAGTCATTTTGCATATATCCTACACAATTTTGCCATAGCTTAAACACTATTACATGTTGGAATATGCGTCTATCAATTACACGTTCAGTTTCTAGGGATTTTGGAGTGGATGGTATAATCAGAACAAGGATATTTGGTGTATCAAGCAAAGTACCAACAAGAATCCGGTGAGGCCTTTTTGAATAATTGAAGGGAAAGTGAAAAGCTCTTTAAAGTGGTTAGGGATAAAATAGTCAATAGTTTCTCCATTCGGCTGTTAATGATTTCTTTTGTTTTGTTGAGTGAAAACTAAGGAATTAAAAGGGGAAACATGGAGAATCTATGGAAATTGACTTTGTATTGCCTTTTATGTTAAGAAATGAGAGTTTGGCTTTTTAAGGGTAGTTGGAGAGCTTGTGAAGGAAGATAGTTGAATTGAGTTGTGCATGATTGCATGGTGTGGGTCAATTTAATTTAGTGAGTGGATTTTTTTAGTCTTTTGTTCAAATGGATGTTGCTTTAATTGAGTTCCAAAATAAAAGCATGCTCACCTTTTGTTTACCATAGCTTGATTTACCATTTTGGAATCCAATTGCTCGAAAGTTCAAACCATTTGGGACTAAAGTTCTTTCATGTTTTATCATGTGTTTTCACGTTTTCACTTAAAAGCATTCTCTATTTTCACATATTTGCAGGGAATATGCTAGATCGCATGCTTTATGAACTCGGTTGCCTAAATAATAATGATTGTTGGTTTCTAATACTTGAAGATGATATTCTTTAACATATGATCATATTAGCCAACTATGTTATATTTAGTTGTTCATTCTATTTTCATACACTATGTATAGTATAGTTATGTTATATTTAGTTGTTCTATTTTCAATCAGTATAATGACTTGGAATCAGGGGCGAGCTTAAGTATATCTAAGGTAGATCACTTGATCTACTTTTTTTTTTTTTTTTTTTTGTAAGAGATTATATATGGTTATAAATTGGGACCTACCTTAGAAACTTTGAGTGAACTACCTTAATATTTTTGGCAACAAAAATAAATATAAATCAAGATTAAAAAGCTCGCATTTTATATTTTAATAGGTACCCAATTTATTTAAGGTATAACCAAATAAAAAATAGCCCAATACAAGTAAAATATAATTAAATAAATACAAGAAAAAAGAAAAAAAAAATAAAAAATCGTTCTCAACACGATGTTCTTCTCCCGCTTCATACCGTCAATTGCACAACGTCATCCATCGGGCACCAAATCTCCGCCACCATTGATGTCAAGATATACGACCTCATAAGGTACAATTGTAATAATTTTTTTTGCTAGTACAACCCGTTCCAAAACCGCAAATCGTATTTTTTATTTTTTTATTTTTTACGTTTCACTTAAATAGTGAACCACATGGTTTTATGTTCTAGACTCGCAACTGCTTGGAATTACTGATAAATCTTATTTATAGGTTCATAATAACGACTTATGACTATAAATATAAGTTACACTGAAAACAAAAAAGTATAGCTTAAGTTACAGAGCTTTTAGTGAAAACCGAGAAAATTATGTGGACAAAACTCCGACCCGAAAGCTTCTATTTTTCGGACTCCCGGACCCGAAACTCTACTAAAACATTCCTAAAAGTTGGGAGAAATTGGATCTTAAATCAGAAGTGTACTCAGAAAGAAAGATAGGAAAAGGTGTGGGAAAATGAGGAGTTTTCCTAGCCTATTTATAGTGTTCAGGAAGGTACGCGCCGTGCAAGGCATGGTGCGCACCACACACACCATCCTTGCTGGCTCCTACCTTGTGCCACTTGTTGTTCGTCCGTGTCCTAGCCTTCTAGAAGGTACCAAGTTTCGTCTTCTTGTGGTGCCAAATGTCGCATTCTCATGGTGCCACGCCGCCTTGTTGTTGATGGAAGGGGGCGTCCGACCATGCCACATGGCACCCTCTCATGGTGCTACATCATCACCACGCAACGCGTGAGCACGAATTTCCAAATTTTCAAAATGTCGTAACTTCTTCATACAAGCTCCGTTTTTGACCTTCTTTATATCCCCGGAAAGCTCTTGACAGGATCTACAACTTTCATTTAGACTCCATTGACTAGTTTGGAATTTATTTTTAAAGCTATATTTTAAACAGGCTTAGACCGTTAAAGTCGGTGTAAGAACATAACTCTCTCATACAATATCCATTCTCGACTGTCTTTATATCAATGGAATCATATGGATGTGATCTTCAACTCTCGTTTAGATTATTTTTCCTAACAATCAACCGATCTCTACTTTGATTTCTAAGCTGAATATGGTTGCACTGAAACTTCGAAAAATCATAACTTTCTTTTGCGAAGTCAGATTTGGACGTTCTC